ATGAAAGAAAAGAAGTCTGTAAGGCTCTACCAAAAAGAAGCATAGTTGCTGGGATCTAAAAGGAGTGGCTACCTGAGGCGGCCTGTTAAGTTTTCCTCCCCAAGCCTTCACAGTCAAGTTTCACTGAAAGCTGCAGAATGGCATTAGGGGAACTGAGGAAATTTTCTGAGGCCACTTTTCTGAGGAGTAATCCAGAGAGGATGGTAGGTGCCTAGCTAGAAATGAAAGGGTGTGCACGTGTGGAATCTGACAATTCAGGGTGGTTAGTCTGACCAGCAATGGGAGAGTTGCATCAGTCTCAGGATGATGAAAGTTAATTCTGAATAGGTTAATTGGTGTTAAAAGGGTTAGAGAGTTGAGAAAGGTTAAGCTCATGTCTGTGAAAAGCAGAATTAAGCTGCTGTAAAAAGGGTTAATATTGCAGACTTGGCTGGAGAATTAACAACCAAAGGACAGGTCACTAGTGATTCTTACTCTATTTTAAAGGGGAAAAATAGTTACTTTAAATGATGTAATACTGATGGGATAAGAGCACCAGGTGTAACGTCATAAATAGGTGTTTTTCTCTAGTGTCACGTGCAGGGATGGTAGAACAAGAATCTGATCCAGGTGGATTGTGAGTCTGGGGAGGATGCAGAGTATTTTCCTGAGTCACTGATTCCAGGCCTAACAGCTCAAAATGTTGCTGCCCCTGGTTTCCTTCCTCCTTTTCTCACTTTTTTCCTAAACTCTTTATAGCTTTCCTAAAACTAGATGAGAATTTAAGAATATAAATAAATAAACCACAGAAGAGTCCATTCAAAACTATCCACTAGGAACCAGGTATGATGGTACATGCTTATAATCCTAGCACTCAGGAGGCTGAGGCAGGAGGATCACCGGGAGTTTGAGGCCAGCCTAGACTATATAGCGAGACCCTGTCACAAAAAACAAAAACCAAACAAAAAAAACTATCCACCAAGGATTAGGAATAATTATGTTTTTAAATAGTTATCATTGACCCAGAATGAATGCTTGGAGATAAGTTCTCACAACTATTAAAAGGCCCTGTATACAAATCCAGTTTGATTCCATTCCATTCCTACAACATCAGTCATCCTTTGCCATCATTGGAGATAGGCGCGTGTTTTGAATGTGTTACCCAAGCTATGTAAAGTCTGTTGTGACTGGGACAGCTGAACTCCAAGGATGGCAGAGCTCCAAAATGCCTAAATTACGCTAAATAGAAAGCTAAGAAATTGGGCTGTGGACTATGGATCCAGAAAAAATAGTCATTGTATATATACCTGCTGTGTAGAAGGGGCTCTTTTAGCTATAGAAATCTACCCTCAAGCAGCTAATAATGAAAACATGTGCAAAGTTCCCACAGAAGTTTCCCTCATCTCTTTGTCCTCAGTCTCTGAATTTTGGGGTGCTCTAGAGCACAGTCTTCATATCTCTTTAGTTATGCTTTTACCTACTCTCTTCCCAATTTTGTTCTTCAGTTCATGGCTCTGTTATGGTTTATATTTAGATGCCCCCCCCAAAGTCTCGTGCACTCATAAGTGCGGCTTTTGGGAGGTGAGTGGGTCACAGTTGTGTGACACTGGGTTTGTCCACTGATGGGTTTGTAGCTGGATGTGATATTAGGAGGTGAAACTTGCCAGGTGTGGTGGTGCACACCTGTAATCCCAGCGCTCGGGAGGCTGAGGCAGGAGGACCGTTGTGAGTTCGAGGCCAGCCTGGGCTATAAAGTAAGTTCAAGGCCAGCCTGAACTACATAGCGAGACCCTGTCTCAAAAAGACAAAAAAAAAAAAAAAAAAAAAAAAAAAAAGGAGGTTAGGGGCTGGGGATTTAGCTCAGCGGCACAGCGCCTGCCTGGCGAGCGCAAAGTCGTGAGTTCGATTCCCGGTACCGGGAAAAAAAAACAAAAAAAAGGAGGTGAACCGATGAGAAGAGGTGGGTCACTGTGGGTGTGGCCTAGGATGGGGATAAAGATATATACTATACTTCCTCCTCCCTTGATGGCTCCCTGCTTCCTGCTGCCGTGCCATGAGCAATCCTCCTTCGCCGTGTCCCTCTGCTATGCTTCCCTGCCTTGGAGCCAGCCAACTGTGTACTGAAAGCTTTACAAACTGTGAGCTAAAATGCAGTAAATCTTTCCTCCTTTAAAATGTTCCTGGGGCTGGGGATGTAACTCAGTGGCATAAGCACCTGCCTGGCCAGTGCAAGGTGCTGGGTTTGATTCCCAGTACAAAAAAAAAAAAAAAATTCCCACTGGGGATACAGCTCAATGGCACAGCACCTGCCTAGTAAGTAGAAGGTCCTGAGTTTAGTTCCCCATACCAAAAAAAAAAAGTTCCCACCAGCTTGAGCCTTTGATGGTACAGGTATGACTGCCTCATTGGGCAGTTTGTACCGCAGGTGGTACAAATGAATCTAATCACTTTTGCCCATCTTTTTACAAATAAAATTAATAAAAAGCCAACCAATGGGACAGTCACACATGTAGCACTGGTGGTTCAAGCCACCTGGTAGCAAGACATATGAATTACTACCCTGGTCATGATCCTGTTAACTTGTGGGTATTGGGTATTTTGTCCCGGCAACAAGAAAATAACTAAGCCAGTTGACTGCTACCGCCTTTTTGCCATCTCCTCAGTACCTAATAGACATACTAAACATGAAATGTCCAAACTCAATCTATCTCCTCCCACAAACCTCTTTCTCTTGCAGTTTTTTGCACTGTGGTAAATGGCAACTACATTCCTGTAGTTGCTTAGGCCCGAATCTTCAGTCATTCCTGATACTATGTTTACATACATTTTTTGTTATCACGTCCTGACTACTATAGTTTCACTGTGTATCTAGGGTTAGGTTAGGGTTAGGGTTAGGATTCTGTCAAACTGGGCCAAGCCACCATTGTCTCTTACCTATATTATTCTAATAGCTGCTTAACTACTTCTTCCTACTACCTTGCTTCTATCCCAAGTCTGTGGTCAATATAGCAATAAGAATGATTTTTTTGAAATACTAAGTTAGAGCTTATCCTTTCTATGTTAAATTCCTCTCATTTCTATTTCAGTAAAAATACTGTTTGGCTACCAGTTAACCCTTGGACCTGATATCCTGCTGGGGGCTGCTGTTACTTCCTTCCCTCTCTCTAGTCACATTTACTGTCTTGCTTTCCCCTGAACATCGTAGGATCTCTGTACCTGCTGCTTACTGAGGCTAAGATGATCTCCAGAGATAGCCACATGCTTTACTCTTCCATCTTTTCAAGTGTTTCCTTAAGAGACAGGCTGTCAGTGAGGATTTCACTGATTACCATCCTTAAATTACCTCCTACACCTGCTTGAGCATCCCTGTCTGCAGGCTTTGCTTTAGTTTTCTCCAGAGCAGTTATGGTCACTGGATGGGTGGATACATAACACAAGAATATCTGTGCCTGTGTGTGTGTGCACGAGATCCGTCCTTCTGCTCTCAAATGAAAAATTCAGGCGGATAGGGAATTTTGTTTGCTTCTGTCTCCTCCAATACCTGGAAAAAGTGATGTATTTTAGGTGATTAATAAATAAATTGAATTAGTGAAAATTCCAGAGAGTGTATATACCAAGAGGAAAAACAGAAAAAGCTGGAAGTAGTTCTAAATGGTTTGTACCCCAAAACCTGTATAATATGTTCTGTTTGACTGTATATTTCTAAAAGTAAAAACAAAAATATATTTTTTTAAAAACAAAGACCATTTGTCTCAGTAATAAGGCAATTTTTAGAAATAAATCAAAAGTTCCAAATTAGGGCTTCTAGAAACCACTTCAAAGCACACACTTACAGGAATATAACTAAGAAAAGATAAAAGTTGGGTATGTATATGTATCACCATACCTGAAAGACAGTGCCCGTGCGGAAAATCAGTAAAATGAAAGAATATAGATAATCTTGTTTTTCTCTATGCCTCTTGTATTGGAAAAGAAATGAGTCTATTTCAATTTGATCTTTGTTCTTTGGGGGAAAGAAAAGTTAAATTATTTTTAATGTTCTCTGTATCAATGTAATCAATTAAAGTATCACTTGGTTGCATTTGATGAGATGGCTTAATTTCACATGTCAGACATTGATGAACTTGTAAATCATAAGGTATATTTAGTATACAGCATCCTTATTTTTATAAATCGCATATTCTATATTTAAAAAACAGTAATGCTTACATTATTTCTCATATATGTTCTTTGACTTGGACATTTTAAATCTTTTATGCTAACTTTGAAACATTGATTATTCTATCTAGTGTCATTTTTTGAGTAATTGACTTCTCTCCATTCATAGTAATAGTAGCTCAATTTACATATGTGCATTTGCTATAATTTGGGCACTAAGGGATAATGGCATGTTCCTTTCAGACAGCACAATTTAACCCCTTAGGGCCTTCATTTTGATTTATCTTATGCTTTTATCTTCTTCAAAGAGAAGGAAAGGAAACAGTCTCTTCTTAGTCACCATTTTCAAGTTATAGGCAGAAATTTTGATGACTTTAAGGCTAAATTTTCTCTTACATTCTTCTGATTTAATAATAATGGGAACTGAATGGAAGAAGGAAATAAAGAGAAGAGCAAATGATGAAGAAGGGAAAGGCATTAACATTCATAATGTAAATAGTTTCTCACTACTGTCCAACTTGTACTTTATTCCTTATGGTACCTCCTGTGGCCTAGTTATATTGACTTGAAGCTGAGCATGATGTCACATGTCTGAAATCTCAGCTACCCAGCAGGCTGAGGCAGGAGGATCACAAATTTGAGGCCAGCCTCAGCAGCTTAGTAAGAACCTGTCTGTTCTATGCATGTACAGATATGCCAAGATGAAACCCATTATTCTACTAAGCAATATGAGCTAATAAAAGAAAGAAACGACTGGGGATAAAGCTCAGTGGCAGGGAATCCCTGGTTTTGATCCCCACTACTACATACACACCCACATGCACACTAAAGTTGTTGACCTAAATTAAATCTGTTGTTTTCAGTTGTCTGGACCTGGAGCAATGTTCTCTTAAGGTATTGGAGCCTGAAGGAAGCCCAAGCCTGTGTTTACTGAAACTAATGGGTGAAAAAGGTTGTACAGTCACAGAATTGAGCGACTTCTTGCAGGCTATGGAGCACACTGAGGTTCTTCAGCTTCTCAGCCCCCCAGGTAGGTTTTTCCCTTAGGAATATTACCTTGAAGTTCATGAAGTAAATCTTAGAAACATCGCATTTGTCCAGGTAAATTGGGTCAAACGTCTTTGAAACATAAATGTATAGAACTTCATTTTTTCCCATCTTGAGACCAATGAAGGCATAAAAAGCAAATAAAAATGCATAAATGTTGATTGGATTATAATTTTAAAAGCCACTTATGTACTGAAATCTTTAGAGGTAAAATTGCTACAACATATATTGAAGTAGTACAGCCAATACAATGAAAAAATACACACATGGATGAGATGATATAGAACAGAAATGTATTAAATTTTTACCAGCATAATGTTGTTGAAATGTTAATTAATTCAACCATATGAATTTTTCCTGATAAAACAATATTGACAAAGGAATTGAAATTATCTCGTGTATATTATCTCTTCCTAGTGCAATGAAACTAGAAATCATTGGTAAAAGACACCACAGAAACTGTGCAGAGGGAAATTAAATAATACCCTCTTGAGTAATCAGGGAGTCATAGGAAATTAAAGAAGAAATTAGTTCCTACAGTGAAATGATAATGACAGTATGATGTACTGGAACCTATGGGACTCAATGAAAGCAGTTCTAAGAGGGAGGTTTATAGCAGTGAATTCCCACATCAGAAAAAATAGAACATGCACAAATAACCTAATAATGCACCTCAGGGTTCTAGAAAAACAGGAACAATCTAAACCCAAATCAAGTACAAGAAAGCAAATTATAAAGATCAGAGGACAAATTAATGCAACTAAAACAAACAACAACAACAAAACGCAATATACAAAGAATCAATGAATACAAGACTTGGTTCTTTAAAAGCTTAAACAAAATAGACAAAACATTAACTAACCTTATCAAAACAAGGAAAGAAAAGACCCAAATTCATGCAATTAGAAATGAAAAAACCAAAATCACAGTGGATTCTGCCGAAATCCAGAAGCTCATCACTAAATACTTTGAGAACCTGGAAATGGAAAATTCAAGAAGTGAATAGAATGCTAGATACATACGAATTACCAAAGCTGAATCAAGAAGATATAAAAATCCTGAGTAATCCACTATCAGTAAGTGAAATTGAAAAAGTAATTTTAAAAAACTGCCAACTAAGAAAAGCCCACGTGCCAGTGGATTCACTGCCAAATTCTACAAGACCTTTAGAGAAGATGTAATACTGATACTCCTCAAACTTTAAAAATCAGAAAGAAGCAGTACTCCCAAAAGTCATTCCTGGAAGCCAGAATTACCCTCATATTGAAACAGAAAACAACCTAATGAGAAGAGAACTAAAGGTCAGTCTCTTTAATGAACATACATGCAAAAATCCTCAGTAAGATACTGGCAAGCAGAATGTAGCAAATCATCAAATAGATGATATACCATGACCAAATAGGGTTCATTCCAAGGACACAGGGTTGTTTCAGTGTATGCAAATTAATAAATGTAATGCACCACATTAACAGAACCAAGAGAAAAACCACATGATCATCTTAATAGATGCAGAAAAACCACTTGACAAAATTTAACATCCACCCGTAATTTAAAACCCTAAAGAAAATACATATAAAAGGTCTTTATTTCAACCTGATAAAAGCCATCTATAATAAACCAACAGTCAATATCATACTAATAGTCAAAAACTGAAAGCTTTCCCTCTAAAATCACAAACAGGATAAGGATGTCCATATCACCACTTTTGTTCAATACAGTTCTCGAAACATTAGCCAGAGAGTAATTAGGCAAGAGAAAGAAAGAAAAGAAGTATGGATAGGAAAGGAAGAAGTTAAATCATTTGCTAATGATATGATCCTCTACGTAGAAGACCCCCAAAACTCCAAGACTCCTAGAATTAATAATTAAATCCAGTAGCATAGCAGGACACAAAGCCAGCACTCAAAAATCAATAGCAGTGCTGGGAATTTAGCTCAGTGGCACAGCGCCTGCCTGGCAAGCGCAAGGTCGTGAGTTCAACTCCCGATACTGGAGAAAAAAGAAAAAGAAAAAATCAATAGCATTACTATAAACTAATCACGTAGCCAGAGAGAAATTAAGAAAATAATAATGTTCACAGTAACATCAGTAAAAATGAAATATTTAGAAATTAACCTAACCAAGGAAGTAGAAGACCTCTACAGTGAAAATTATACTACCCTGCAAAAGGAGTTTGAAAAGGACAGCAGAAAGTAGAGGGCTGGGGATATCTCAACATCTGCCCAGCAAACACAAGATCCTGAATTCAATTCCCAGTACCAAAAAAATCCTGTTCTGGATAGGCAGAACCAATATAATAACTATACTTTCAAAACTTACACAGATTTAATGCAGTTGCAACAAAAATACCAACAGCACACCTCACAGAACTAGAGAAAATTCTAAAATTCATGTGGAACAAGGAGAGACCTAGAATAGTAAAAGTAATTTTGGGCAACAAGGGTAAAGCAGTGAGTATCACAATACTGGAACTCAAGTTATAAAGCTACAGTGATAATAGCGTGATCTTAGCAAAAAAAAAAAAAAAAAAAAAAAAAACAGACTCAAAGACCAGTGGAACAAAATAGATGATACAGAAACAGCTCCGGGCACACATGGGTTAAACAACTTTGCTGAAAGAAAGATAGCCTCTTTAACAAATGGTGCTGGGAAAACTGACTTTACACATGCCATATTGTACCTAGATCCATATTTGTCACCATGCACTACACTAAAAGCAAAAAAGGATCAGAGATCTAAGACTTTTTTGCCTGGTTGCACAGGAAATATTACAGAGTCAACAACTGGGGTCACATCAAATTTTAAAAACATGCACATCAAGGGGAACCAACAGAGTAAAGAGATACCCTACAGAATGGGAAAAAAATTTTGCCAGCTACCCCTCAGAAGATTAGTATCAAGAATATATAAAGAACTGCTGGGCATGGTGGTGCATGCCTGTAATCCCAGCACTTGGGAGGCTGAGGCAGGAGGATCATTACAAGTTCGAGACCAGCCTGGGCTACAAAGTGAGCTCAAGGCCAGCCTGAGCTGCACATTGAGACCCTGTCTCAAAAAAACCACACACGCACACACACACACACACACAAAATATATATATATAAGAACTCAAAAATATCAGACTCCACACCCCCCCCAAATTTAAAGATCCAATCCAGAAATGAGCATCTGAAATGAATAGACATTTCTCAGATAAAAAAAGTACAAATGGGGGCTGGGGATTTAGCTCAGCGGCAAAAAGCGCCTGCCTGGCAAGCGCAAGGTCGTGAGTTCGGTTCCTGGTACCGGAGAAAAACCAAAAAAAAAAAAAAAAGTACAAATGGCCAATAAATATATGAAAAACTGCTCAACATCACTGACCATTTGAGAAATGCAAATTAAAGCAAAACTGAGGTTCTGTCTTACTCTAGAAAGAATGGCTGTTATTAAGAGATCAACCAATAACAAATGTTGGCTAAGCTTCATGGGGAAAAGGAACCCATCTCCATTGTTGATGGGAGTATAAATTGGTACAGCCAATATGGAAATCAACATGTAGATTCCTCAAAAAACTAAAACTAGAGGTTCCGTTTGACCCAGTTATTTCCCTGTAGATATCTTCCCAAAAGAGTTAAAGACATCATGCTACAGTGATACATGCATACCCATGTTTCTAGCAGCACAATTCATAATAACTAAATCTTCAAACACTGTGTAACATCAACAGATGAATGATAAAATGTATACAATGGAGTACTATGCCATAAAGAAGGTCAAACTTGAGGCATTTTTAGGTAAATGGTTGCACCCTGAGACTATAACCTTCAGTGAAATAAATCAGCCACACAAGCTTTATATATATATATATATATATAAAACATCTTTCACTTGTATGAGAAACCCAAAGTATAAATAAGGAACAGAATGGGGGAGAAATATTAGGAAGTAGGAGTAACTTGTTTTAACATTGAAGAGAAGCGAGATTAGGGGAGGGGGAAGGAAGGGAAAAAGGATTTAAAGAAAAAAAATGGAAATACAGCTTTGGTAAATGAGGGAAGAGGACAAAAAAGTATCAAGATGTACAATGTACATGTACTTATCCCCCATGATAAATGTGATCATTATGTACTACAAACATGTACTAATAAAAAGAATCAACGGTAAAGAAATTACTGAGTGAGTCTTCTCATTTCCAAAGTTAGGTGAGGAACAGGATGCAGTTGTTCCTTTCTATAGCTGCAGCTGTAGTCATGTCAGGGTGGGAAGGACGTCAAAACTGCCTGATGGCAGTAGCCCTGCAGGTCCAGAGATTCATTTGTACTGAAAGAAGAGACACCAGCCAAGCCTGGAAGGGCCATAGACTAAGGACTTGATGTTCCCTATTCTATATGATTTTGATGTATGCCATTTCATTATATAGCAAGTTGGTTATGATATATTTTTAAATTAACATGAAAAATTTTAGGCCCAGAAAGTAAATTGGTGAGTTGTCAAATGCATGTACCAGAAATCCCAATTCAAATTAGTGTTAAAGAGAATGTATAATTTCTGATTTAAAAGTCATGTTGGGCTTCATGAGAGGCAGGGAACAACCCTGTTTCTAGGAAGTTGGTTGGTTTTTAGTCTTTGTCTTCCTTTGTTGGCGTTGGCTTCCTTCCAGAACTGATGCTTCACAAAACCCAAGATGCTACTAACTTTTCCTGAGCTCTTTCATCTTTCTCCCAGCATTGTAGGAAAAATCAGAGGGTTCATTCTATTTAACTAGTTTCGTTTAAATGCCTGTCCCTAAATCTGTTCCTGTGGCCAAGGACGTGGAATGTGCTGATTTGCCTTGCTGATAGCCAAAAGTAGAATAGGTTGAGTATGCTTTCCAGGAACCACATGGCTTACCCAGTGAAATTAGAATTGTTGGATGGAAAAAGAGGTAACAGGTGCTCAAAATGTAACTAAACAAATCTACTCCAGATGGAAAGGGTCCTGGATTTTGAAAGAGGAATGTTGAAC